TAATATTTTTTTTATTTTTATAGGTTTCATTGTCAAATTTGGGGACCCCAAAATTAAGCTTGATTAATTTGGAGAAAATTTGGGATGATCATCAACATTCAGCAGCTACTTCTTTTATTTAATTGTGGATGACTGTGGCAGCCTACAATATTTATTCTCACCTTTTATGGTTGAAAATCTAGAAAATCTGAAACGGCTTGAAATAAGTAAATGCCACGCGATGGGGGAGATAATAGGCATAGAAGGAAGTAACAATGAGATTACATTGGCTCAAGATCATATGGTATGATTTTGTTCTTAAGTTATTTTGAAGTTGCCAACATTTGCATTTTTTTTTTCATTGTAGTTTTAATGAACATAAAAGTTTTAAACACCTCCCAGTCTTATAACTTGGAATATTTCTTAAATTACAATATCCAAAATCTATCACACAAGCACATTCAAGTAACAATGTAATATTAATATTAGGGTTTTTTTTTAATTAGTTGAGAGATTGGTATTGGTTTATTATACAATGTTCATGATTTGTTGTGCATCAAATAGGTTGGATTTCCCAAATTGGAGGAGATCATAATAAATGACATGAAGAACTTGAAGGGAGCATGGCATTACCAATTTGGTAGAATAAAGATATTGGAAGTGAACAAATGTGATGAACTGGAGACTATGTTTCCATCAGGCTACATGCTTGAAGCATTAAGAAGTCTTGGGATGTTGAGGGTTCGAGATTGTGTTTCAGTGGAAGAGATATTCAACTCACCTCTGCTGGCGGAATGCATACTCAAGAAGTGACAGCTCAGCTGAAAAATCTAGAAATAAGTGGACTGCCGGAGTTGAAATGAATATGGAGCAGGGATCCCCAAGGACTTGTTTGCTTTTCCAATCTAGAACTCGTGTGTGTTGAGCACTGTAGCATGCTGGACTATGTCTTCCCGTTCTCCATTGCTAAGGATCTTCCACAATTTGAATATCTCAAACTAGCTATGTGTGGGATCAAGGAAGTTGTTTTGAAGAAGGATGGATCAGTGGATGAAACTACCATATTTGAGCTTAATGATCTCACCTCCCTGATCCTTATAAAATTGCTTAAGCTCAAGGGATTCTGTGTAGGGGTTCATACATTAGAATGTCGATCCTTGAAAATGCTGCATGTGTTGCATTGTCCATATTTGAAGGTATTCAATCTGCCTGCAAATAGATGTCGGCTAAGTTTTGCTAATGACAGATTTCATTTGTCAATGCAACAATATCAATTTACAATTAATGAAGAGGTATGGGTGATATAAGCTTTTATCCTTATCCATAAAATCATGACACCAGTCATATTTAGCGTATATTTGCCTAATATATTTTGTTTATTTATCTTGCATCTGGTCTGATAAAAATCTTCATTGTACTTTGTCGTTACATTTCGCAATGAAAATAACAAATTTATGCCCTATGTTTTATGTGAACTTCAATTATTTTCATTTTACTATGTCATGATGCAAAACAATGACTCTGTAACTTCCAACGATGTAATTTTGCATTGTGCAATTATGCAATTATGTAGGTGATTCGCAACTTGGATAATTTGGTCCTAGAATCTTTGGATGCTAACGTCATATTGTATCACCAAGTTCCCTCATGCCTATTCCGCAAACTCAAAACATCTTTGGATATCTGCTTTTCAAGATGATGAAGCAAGTGCTCTGCTTTGGTTTCTCAAAAATGTACCTAGTCTCGAAAATCTATATGTTTCATTCAGCTCCACAAAGGAGATATTTTATGATGAATTGCTAACCCACGAGGAAGAATGGAACAAAATTAGCACCCGATATATAAAGCATTACTGCTGCGGCGTTCACCGAAGCTTCAGAATTTATGTAAAGAAGGAAGTCAAATTCACCTTGTTCTTGAGGTTCTTGAAGTCTTAATGGTGGAAGAATGTTCCAGTTTAAGAAATTTAGTCCCTTCCTCTGCAACATTCTACCACTTGACATATCTAGAGGCAATACAGTGCAACAGTTTGAAAAGCCTAATGACCTCATCAACGGCGGGAAGTCTTTTCAAATTGCAAAGGATGAAAGTGTGATTCGCTGGAAGAAATTGTGACAGAAGAGGTGGATGGGACAAAAAATGAAATTGCGTTTAACAGTTTGTTAAGTTTAGAGCTGAATTATTTGCCAAGGCTCCGTAGTTTTTCATCAAGCAAGTGCCCCTTCAAGTTCCCATAATTGGAGAGATTTATTGTTAGCCAATGCCCTCGGATGCAAATTTTCTCAGACAAAGCAATAAGTGCACCAAAGCTTAGAACAACACTAACGGAGGGAGAATCTTACTGGGAAGGAGACTTAAATGAAACAATCAGGAAGATGTTTCGAACAAGGTCTGTATGATTTATCCAGACAAATTTTGAAAGATTTTGAGTGAATTAAAATAAATTGTTTAAAGTGTTTAAGTGTGATCTTATTATAATTGACGCTATGAATTGTTTTTTTTTTTTTTTACAAGTGGCATTTTGTAGCTTCAAGCATTTAGAGCTTTCGAAATATCCAGAGTTAAGAGAATTGTGGTATGGCCAAGTTGGGCATGAAATGTTTTCTAATTTGAAATCTTTGGTGGTGCGAAATTGCCAGTGGCTTTCGAATATTCTTCTTTCAGGAAGCATGCTAGAAGCTTTGTTCAACTTGGAAGAGCTTGAAGTGAGTGTGATATACTTGAAGCTGTGTTTGATTTGGGCGATATGAATGAAAGAGGAAGGATGGTGAGAGAAACTAATCAGTTGAAAAAAAAAATGAGACTTAATAGTCTGCCAAAATTGAAGCACATGTGGAAACACGATTCCTGTGAAATTGTTAGTTTTGGTAATTCAAGCGATGTTTGTGCCAGTGAACGCCAATCATCAAATGGAGAAGAAAAAGTATGATCCATAATCTTAATTAGGGCGATAACCTAGGCTAAATTCAACGGGATAAAATAATGATAATTTTTCAACATTAAACCAAGCCTGATTAGGTTTAGGTTTGGCCTAAATACTTTTTTATTTTTTTAAAAAATATATAATATATATTAAACATTAATTAATATTTTAAATTGTAGTTTATTATTTGAGTAAATTATAAATATATATTTTTAAAAATTTTTAAAATTTTATATTATTATATTTTCATCATTTTTAATCTCTCAAATATTTTAAAATGATCTTAGAAATATTTTTAAAACTTTAAGACTTAAAAAAAAATTTCAGTCCTCTGTATTGTTTAACTGTCCCGAAAGGTATAATGCATATTTCTTACAATAGTAGTAGTAATAATTAATTTTAAGATTAAAATTTAAATTTGCTTAAAAATTGTTGACTATTCGAGCATTCAAGATGGTTGGAATAAACTCCAAAGCTGAATTGTTAGGGCCAAACATGATTATATAAGATAGGAACTTTCTTTACTAATGACCCTAAATTTTAAATTAAATTAAATTAAATTTTTTCTATTAATTAATATTTTATTTAAATTAATTTTATAGTAAGTGTTAAGTGGAGGATGGTGGTTGATAGAAACTTATGCTAACAATTTTTTTGAACATTCAAAGTTTAAATTTTACTAAGATTAAAAAAAAAAGAGAGAGAAGATAAGAGAGTTCAGTTTTATTTTTATTAAATTTTGTGCCTTTTTTATAATATTTTCCTGACCTTTTTGGTAATTTTTCCATGTGCTTTTTGAACAGTGTTCTTTTTTTTTTTTTTAATAATTCTCTTCCCTTCTGATTAAACGCCAGAAGCGCGCCGATGCAGCTTAAGGATTTAATCGATTTTTCTCTTTATAATCGATTATCAATTTAATTGGTGTTTGGGTATGTTTTTGAAAAATCGAATTTTTCACTGAAAAAATCGATTATCGAGTAAATCCAAACGCGCACTATATCCACTTTTGACCGAATTGCCTGGTAACTTGTAATGATAATATTTGCTAAATGTTGTATTTTGTTATTGTTAAAATTATTTTTATATAAAAAAATTAATTATTTGACCTTTATAATTTTAATTTAGTTGTAACTCAATTTTAAACTTTAACTCACTGTAATTCAAGTTCCTGAAATTTTGATTCTATTATAAATTAAGTTTTTAAATTTTATCTTTTATAATATTGTTTCTGAAGTTTCAACCTTTAAATATTAATTTTATATTTTAAAAATAAAATTATAAAAATTAAAAATATTTTAAAATTTTAATATTTATAAATATTAAAAGAGTTTAATAATTTAAGATATTAGTAATAAATTTTAAAATATTTTTAATTTTTATAATTTTATTTTTAAAATATAAAAATTAATTTTTAAGAAATTAAAATTTTAAGAACTAAATTATAAGAGGTAAAATTTAAAAATTAATTAATAAATAAATTAAAATTTTAAAAATTGTGTTATAACGAGTTAAAATTTAAAATTAAATTATAATTAAATTAAAATTATAAAAATTAAATGATTAATTTTTTTTACAGTTATATCTTATATGTAACATTGATTTTGGATATAGATAAATTATAAATGTTTTGATAATTAATATTTTTTATTTAAATTATATTATTTTAATTATGATTGAATTAGACTTCTAACTTGTGAACCTATATTTTAACTGGATCAAGGATCCATCAGTTTTCAGCACTTTACTCCTATCTCTTCCCCTTCCTTCTTCCCCGTTTTCCATTCAACTTTGTTTTCATTTTTCAATACCACTGATTTTCCAAGGCTGACACGCGTGGCTAACCCTTGCCATTTTCGGAGCCGACGCTGTTCATAGAGCCACTGTGAAGGTAAGCATGTGAGAGGAGCTGGCCCCACCTCAGCGGCTTGGTGGAATTACGATCAGGATGCATTGAATAGTGATGTTGATTTTTCCACCCTGGACTTTGTGGCTTTACGTATTGACTTGAAAAAACTAGTCTTTTGAGATTGGGTTTGCATCATATTTACATTGCCTCCGATCTTTCCTCTGCTTTTCCTGCGCGCTGTTCTTACAATTTCTTCTGCTATTTCCTTCTACTTTTACCTTCAAGCCAGTCCAAGGAAAACAAATCGTCGGCGTTTTTGTTTCTTTTACCTCTATTCGTTCCTCTTCTAAGATTTCTGTTTAACTTGGTTTCTTTCATTTTTCTGTTTCAACTGCTTCCCAAAAAAAAAAAAAGACAAAAAAGAAAAGTGCCTTTGTTCAAGGATCTATTCTCTTGTTATCTCCTGTTTCGTTGTTGCTTTTAAAAGTCTTTTGCCAAAAAACAATTTTTTTTTCTCATGATTGGAAGGGTTTGTATTGTCTCGTTCCGTAGTTTATGTACAAACTAAATTTATTAAAAGCCCAAAAAAAAAAGTTGACGTCGTTGTTGCCTGGAGATTTCTTTTCTTGCAACTCTGCTCTCTGTTAATACTTCTCTGAAATTTATTGCTTTAAAAAATCTTCCCAAATAAAAAAAAATAAAAGCCAAAAAAAAAAAATGTTGTTATCAATTTGTCCCTTAGAAGTCCTGGTACTGTCTCTCGTCGTTCCTTCTTTTAGGTTTTCCGTTCAAGTTGTTTTCTTTCTTTCTTTCTTTGTTTTTTTTTTTTTTTTAAAATCAAAGGTTTCTTTCATTTTCTTGTATCAACTTGCGCAGGAAAAAAAGTTGTCTTTTTTTAAGGGTCTATTTTCTGGTTACCTCTTCTTGTATTTGTTGCATTTAAAAAAAAGGGGAAAAAAGTTCTCATCCTCAATCCTTTGTTCCTTGGTAGTCTTGGTACTACCGCCTCAGTTTGTAGTTCTTCAGAGTGAGAGACAAGTTTAATTTCGTGTGAAGCAAAGAGCGATTCTGGTAAATTTTGTCTCTTGATATTTATAATCTTTCTATTCTCATAATTATTAATATTAATTAATAATATGAATTGTGTTTTTTCTCTATTTTTATTTCTTATCCCCCCCGCCCCCGCCGGACTTGTGATTCTGAATGTCAGAGATTTACTTGTCAAGGGAAGGACAACGGTGGCAAACACCTCTTTTGTCTTTCTCAAGCTGTGTCTGGTAAGGTCCTTCAATTTTGGTGCCTATCATTAGATCATTAGATACCAAATCTCGACCGTTCATTTTAATTTTAGATTTGATGAGTTTGTATATATTGAATGAATGTTGTCCAAGCTTATCCGCCCCCCCAAAAAAAAAGTTTGTTGTCCAAAAACAAAAAAGTATTATTAAAATATAACTTAAAAGTATGAGTAAAATATAACCAACTGCTCTACAATTACATAATCCTAACAAATATTTTAGTCTATTTTTAGCACTATTAAAAATATTCTTTTAAAAATATTTAATTTTTTTTTTGTAATTTAATTGTCTGTCCTCTCTGAATTTAAAAAACTCTAAATAATTTTTAATCTAATCTGTATAATTTAATGGTCAACTAATTAAGATTGCTTGGATGAGAATAAAATCTTAAAAATACTCTAAATTATTTACAACTTTTATAAAATTTATAAATATCGGTTATTTTTATTTTATGATTTTATTTTTCATTTATATTAAAATTAAGTGATGGACAATTGCATTTTTTATTCATTTTTTATTAATGTTATTTGAAAAATTGTAAAATAGTGGAATGGGGTTAAAATGATGCTTTTTTTTTTGAATTTTTATGTTTTTTAAAAGAATAGTATAAAGTTACAGTTTTGATTTATTTTTTAAAAAAATTGTGAAAAATAATTATACCTTTTTATATTTATAAGATATTAAGAACCTCTTTGATTTTTACTTTTAATTTTTTTTTAGTAAAAACTTGTTTAGATAAGTATTTTGGATTTAATTATTTTCACCAAAAAATAAAAATGTTTTAAAATTGGTTTCGTTTTATTTTTCTCATTTTCAAAATACACTATATTTGATTATGAAAAAATATAGTTACCTTGGCTAATTTCTATCTTAAACTGCCACTGTTAAATGCCTGCAACCATGACAATCACTATATTTTGTAATTCTAAAACTGTTTTTCTATTAACAGAACCAAACATATTTTCATTTTATTTGGTTTTGAAAAATAATTCTAAAAATTATATTACAAAACAGTGTAAAAAATAAAAAACGAGAACAGAAATTAAAAAAAAAGGCCCTAAAATGTTTTTAATTTCATATTTTGTTCTGAATTCTCAGCGGAAATAATATTGCAGAAGCTATCAAAAAAATCAACAAAAAAGTAAGTTTCTCGTTTGTTACTTGCAACAAAGGCATGTAACAAGGCATGTTTATGACACCCATTTCTCCATGTGATATGATTTTATTTTTTGATGTTTGTGTTGTTGTTAATCGTACATTAATTCAGGAATCAAGAATGGAGATTCTCGGTGCCATTGCTGGCGAAATAGCAAAGTATACACTGAAACCCATTGAACGACAAGTGGGATATTTGTGTTATTACAAAGACAATTTCAACATGCTAAAGGATCAAGTCGAGGAGTTGGGGACGGCAAAAGAGCGAATCGTGCATGAGGTTGAAGCAGAGAAGAGAAATGGAAAAGAGATTGAAGCTGATGTGGAGAAGTGGCTGAATAAAGCTAATGACACCTTAGAGGAAGCCAAGCGATTGTGTGAAGATCCACGCTGTGTGAAGGCAGAGTGTTCTGGATGGTGTCTTCCTAATTGGATTTCACGCCATCAACTAAGCCGAAATGCAAAGAAAACGGTAGAAAATGTTGCTGAAGTGCTGACAAATGGGAAGTTCAGTCGAATTGGGCACCTCCCTCGTCTACCCACCATCACAACAAGAGATAATGTAAAGCTTGAGTCGAGGAACTTAATGAAGGAGCGCATTTTATCGGTTCTAAAAGACCCTAAAGTAAGTAGAATAGGGGTCTATTGATTAAGTGGGGTGGGGAAGACCACACTAGCAAGTGAAATTGTTGCACAAGTTAAGGATGACCAGTTATTTGATGAAGTGGTTATGGTGACTGTATCACAAGCTTTAGATATTGAGGGAATTCATGATCAGATTGCAGATCAGTTGGGCCTCCTCCGCTTTGAAGAGAAGTCCTCTATGGGAAAGGCAAGCCGCTTACGTGGGAGAATCAAACAGGACAATGCTATCCTCATCATATTGGACGACATCTATGAAGAACTTGATTTGGCTAAATTGGGAATTCCATCACAAGATACTTATAAGCAGGGAATTTCTACAGAGGACAATTATAAGGGCTGCAAGTTGTTGCTCACTTCTAGAGACCAAAATATTTTACAAAAGAATGCAACTCAAGAATTTCAGACTCGAAGTATTATGTGATGAAGAATCTCATAGATTATTTCAAATGACAAATGATGATGCTGCCAAGGATGTCGAGTTGCGAGATATTGCAACCCAAGTGGTTGAAAGTTGCGCGGGCTTGCCTATGTTGATAGTCGCAATGGCAAAGTTACTAAAAAATAGAGAAATTTATTGTTGGAAAGATGCCTTGAATGTACTGAAAAAAGTTGACAGTGGAATAATGGGTGACAAAATTTTTCCACCTTTGAAATACATGTACGATTGTTTACCAGATCATGAAGTGAAGCAAGTATTCTTGCTTTGTGGAGTACTTGGAACGTCCATTTCTGTTAATGACTTGTTGAAATACGTCATTGGTTTGGGTGTATTCAAACACATAAAAACCATTGAAGGTGTAAGAAACAGGCTTCAAAAAGTGATTGATGACTTGAAGGCATCCTGCTTTTTGCTTCACAGTGATGCAATGGCGCGAGTGATCAAAATGCATGACCTTCTTCGAGAAGTAGCTATATCAATTGCATCTGGGGATCAACATGTCTTCACAAGGAATGTTCCATTCCAAGACTGGCCAAGCGGGGATTTTTTTAAATGGTGTACCCAGATAAAGTTGGTTCGTTGTTGCATCCAAACACTTCCTGAAAAGTTAGATTGCCCCATTTTGAAATTTCTCTACTTAAATAGCAAAGATAATCCTTCATTAGAAATTCCAAACTCCTTTTTTGAGGGAATGAGAAACCTTGGAGTGTTGGATTTAACAGGAATGATCATATTATCATTACCTACATCTTTTGCCGCCTTGACTGAACTTAAAACATTGTGTTTGGATCAGTGTTCTTTGGAAGACATTTCTGGAATTGGAGCCTTGAAAAATTTAGAAATTCTTAGCTTCTTTCGTTCATCCATGGAAGAGTTTCCTAGTGAAATAGCGCAGTTGAGTCATCTAAGGATGTTAGATTTGACACGTTCTGGAATTGAGGTCATCCTACCCGATGTTGTGTCCAAGTTGACTAAACTTGAGGAATTGTACGTGGGCAATGCCTCAATAAAATGGGAGGCAAAAAGTTCAACGAAACGAAACAAAAATGCTAGTCTTGTTGAGCTCAAGCATTTGACAAGCTTGATTACTCTACATATTCAAGTTGAGACTTGGATTTTAGTGAGGGACATTGTATTTGATAAGTTAGAGAGATATAAGATTGTTATTGGAGATAAATGGGAATGGCAAAATGATAATAATACCTCAAGGTTGTTAAAGCTAAAGCTTGATACTCCCTCTCAATTAGAACATGGCATTAAAACGTTGATGGAAAGTGTGGAAGATTTATACTTAGATGAACTAAATGGCATTTCAAATGTGCTTTTCCAATTGAATGGCAAAGGATTTCCACGACTAAAGCATCTGCACATCCAAAATAATGGAGATATTCAGTGTATTATCAGCTCAACGGGAAGGAATCAAACTGATGTAATGTTGTTTCCAAAATTGGAGACATTAATGCTTCATAATCTCTCCATGTTGAAGGAGATATGTGATGGGCCACGGAGAGTTGATTCTTTTGGAAAGCTAAGAGTCATGAAGCTCAAAAGTTGCGGGCGGCTAAAATATGTCTTCTTGAATTCAATAGTTAAAAACTTCTCTCAACTTGTTGAGATTGAAGTCTCTGAATGCCATTCTGTGGAGAATATTGTGTCTTTGGAAAGTATGAATAGTGGCATGATCATCAATAAAGTTGAGTTTATTCCATTGCGACGCTTGGCTTTGCAATATTTACCTGCAATAGTCAATTTTTGCTGCTCTAATATCCCAACGTCATTCTTCGATGCAAAGGTTTGCTCATTTTGTGGCATTTTAATATTTCTTATGCATTTGTTATATGAAAATTTGAGTAGCAATTATAAAATATAGATCATATGATAGAAATTGTTACATGTTCAGTACTTGTTTATTATTTGTTTATATATATGCATATATATAACATATATATCAAACCATATATCGTGTGTGTGTTTGTGTGTGGTGTCTAGTAATTCACTACTAAAATATATAGGAATAAGATACTTAATTTTATGAAAAATGTTATCTGGTTATATTATATTACAAGTGACAATAGTTGACTTAATTTATAAAATGGAGTAAAGAGCAATAATTTTGATGGCCACATTACTTTCGTCTGAGAGTAGTAGAGATTGTGTCCTTTTATTGGGTCTCTCACATTGAGAACTTAATTTGTACCATGATTCATTAAGATATAATGCATCTTAAAAATGGTGGTTTGTGCATATATCGGATCAGTGACGGATCTAGAAAAAATTACTAGAGGGGGCAATATTTATATTTATATAGACACTAATATTTTTGAAGAAGATATAATTTTAAATAATAATTAAAATAATATTTAAATAAATAATATAAGGAGTTTAAAAAATATAATAGTTCATTTTTATTATAAATTTATTTTTGTATTAAATAGAAGAGTAGACAATAATTTTAAATATGTATGATGAATAATTTTAAAGAAAGTGTGGGACAATTCATGTTTATGGGCGGCATGTGTAGTTTTAAAGAGAGGGCAAATGTAATTTTAGTTAAAAAGTAAGTGTAAATTTTTCTTATTTTATGGGGGCAATTGCCCCCTCTATGTTCAATGTAGACATGTCCCTGTATCAGATTAAGATTTAGAGTAACAATTTTTTTTATTTTCGTAGGTTTCATTGTCAAATTTGGAGACCCTGAAATTAAGCTCGATTAATTTGGAAAAAATTTGGGATGATCATCAACATTCAACAGTCACTTCTTTCCGGAATCTAGTTAATTTAATCGTGGATGACTGCGGCAGCCTGCAATATTTATTCTCACCTTTTATGGTTGAAAATATGGAAAATCTCAAACTGCTTGAAATAAGTAAATGCCATGCGATGGAGGAGATAATAGCCATAAAAGGAAGTAACAATGAGATTACATTGGCTCAAGATCATGTGGTATGATTTTGTTCTTGAGTTATTTTGAAGTTGCCAACATTTGTATTTTTTTTTCATTGTAGTTTTAATGAACATGAAAGTTTTAAACACCTCCCAATCTTATAGCTTGGAATATTTCTTGAATTACAATATCCAAAATCTTTCACACAAGCACATTCGAGTAACTATGTAACATGAACATTAGGGGTTCTTTTTTTAATTAGTTGAGGGATTAGTATTGGTTTATTATACAACGTTCATGATTTCTTGTGCATCAAATAGGTTGGATTTCCCAAATTGGAGGAGATGATAGTAAATGACATGAAGAACTTGAAGAGAGCATGGCATTACCAATTTGGTAGATTGAAGATATTGGAAGTGAACAAATGTGATAAACTGGAGACTATGTTTCCATCAGGCTACATGCTTGAAGCATTAAGAAATCTTGAGATCTTGAGGGTTCGAGATTGTGTTTCAGTGGAAGAGATATTCCAACTCACCGCTGCTGACGGAATGCATACTCAAGAAGTGACAGCTCAGCTGAAAAATCTAGAAATAAGTGGATTGCCAAAGATGAAACGAATATGGAACAGGGATCCCCAAGGACTTGTTCGCTTTTCCAATCTACAACTCATGAGTATTAAGCACTGTAGCAAGCTGGAATATATCTTCCCGTTCTCCATCGCTAAGGATCTTCCACAACTTGAATATCTCGAACTAGTTATGTGTGGAATCAAGGAAGTTGTTTTGAAGAAGGATGGATCAATTGATGAAACTACCATATTTGAGCTTAATGATCTCATCTCTCTAATCCTTACAACTTTGGTTAAACTCAAGGGATTCTACGCAGGGGTTCGTACATTAGAATGTCAATCTTTGTAAACGTTGCAAGTGTTGTATTGTCCACATTTGAAGGTATTCAATCCGCGTGCAAATAGATGCGGGCAAAGTTTTGCTGATGACCGATTTCATTTCTCAATGCAACAATATCTATTTACAATTAATGAAGAGGTATGGGTGATATAAGCTTTTATCTTTACCCATAAAATCATTACACTAGTCTTATTTAGTGTATATTTGCCTAGTATTTTTGTTTATTTATCTTGCATCCCGTCTGATAAAAATCTTCGGGGTACATTATTGTTACATTTTGCGACTATAAATGACAAATTTATATCCGATGTTATACCTGAACTCTAATTATTCTCATTTTACTAAGTCATGGTGCAAAACAATGACTCTAAATTTTGACGACCGAAATTTTGCATTGTGCAATCATGTCGTAGGTGACTGGCAACTTGGATTCGTTAACCCTGCAATCTTGGGATGCCAACGTCATATTGCATCACCAAGCTCCCCCGCACCTATTCCGCAAACTCAAACATCTTCAGACATCCACTTTTCAAGATGATGAAGCAAGTTCTCTGCATTGGTTTCTTAAAAATGTACCCAGTCTTGAGAGTCTAATTGTTTCCTTCAGTTCTGTGAAGGAGATATTTTATGATGAATTGCTGACCGACGAGGAAGGACGGAACGCTATTAGCACCCGACTTAAAGCATTGTGGCTAAATTGCTTGCCCAAACTTCAGAATTTATGTAGAGATGGAAGACAAATTCACCCTGTTCTGGAGTTTCTTGAAGCCTTACGTGTGCAAGAATGTTCCAGTTTAAGAAATTTAGTTCCCTCCTCTACAACTTTCTGCCACTTGATATATCTAGAGGTGGTACAATGACCTCATCAACGGCGGGAAGTCTTTTCAAATTGCAAATGATGAAAATGGAAAAGTGTGATTCGCTGGAAGAAATTGTGACAGAAGAGGTGGATGGGACAAAAAATGAAATTGCGTTTAACAGTTTGTTTAGAGCTGAATTATTTGCCAAGGCTCCGTAGTTTTTCATCAAGCAAGCGCCCCTTCAAGTTCCCATGGTTGGAGAGAGTTGTTGTTAGCCAATGTCCTCGGATGCAGATTTTCTCCGACAAAGCAATAATTGCACCGAAGCTCAAAACAATACTAACGGAGGGAGGATGTTACTGGGGAGGAGACTTAAATGAAACTATCAGCAAGATGCTTCAGGATAAGGTCTGTATAGTCTATCGAGACAAATTTGGAAAGATTCTGAGTGAATTAAAATAAATTATTTGCGGCGTTTAAGCGTCCTCTTATTATAACTGACACTATAAACTGTTTTCTTCACAGGTAGCATTTCGTAGCTTCAAGCATTTAGAGCTTTCGAAATATCCAAAGTTAAGAGAATTATGGTATGGCCAGGTTGGGCATGAAATATTTTCTAATTTGAAATCTTTGGTGGTGCGAAATTGTCACTGGCTTTCGAGTATTCTTCTTTCTGGAAGTATGCTAGAAGCTCTCTTCAACTTGGGAGAACTTGAAGTGAGTGAGTGCGATACACTTGAAGTTGTGTTTGATTTGGGCGACATGAATGAAAGAAGGATGGCAAGAGAAACCATTCGGTTGAAAAAAATGAAGCTAAATAGGCTGCGAAAACTAAAGCACATATGCAATCATGATTCCAATGAAATAGCTAGCTTTGGTAATTCAGGGGATGTTCGTGCTGGTGAATGCCAATGACCGAATGGAAAAGAAAAGGTATGATCCATAATTTTAATTAAGGTAATAATTTGAGCTAAATTCAACGGCTAAAAAAAAAATTTTAAATATTGAACCAAGCCAAATCAGGTTTAAGCTGGGCATGAATTTTTTTTTATTTTTTTAAAAAATACACAAAGATATGTTAAATATTAATTAATATTTTAAATCATAGTTTGTTATTTGACTAAATTTTATATGTATATATATAAATTGGAAATTTTCATATTATTATATTTTCATCATTTTTAATCTCTAAAATATTTTAAAATAATATTAGAAATATTTTTAAAACTTTAAGACTTAGAAGAAAATTTCAATCTTCTGTATTTTTTAACTGTCCCAAAAAATACAATGCATATTTCTTATAATAATAGTAGTAATAATAGTAATTAATTTTAAGATAAAAAATTAAAATTTATTTAAATTTTTTTGACAATTTTGATATTTGAGTTAGTTTGAATAAACTCAAAAGTCAGAGGTGTTAGGGTAAGGTTTGATTATATAGGATATTTTAATTTATAAGTTCAAACTTATTTAAGCTAGCCCAACTTGAACCTGACCTACTCAAGTGATTGACAATGATCTTAACATATTTGAGTGTTCACATTCATCAGGCTTAAAAATGTTTTAATGGTAATATATTGTTATTATCTTAAGTTCAGTTGTTAATTGACTTGGAAGTAATTAATTGTGTTGAGTGGGATTTAAAAGTAATTCTCAGTAAATTTTAAAAGATTAAATACATAAATGAGGCCAAATTATTTTTCAAACACATGGATAAATCAATAAAAATGTAAATTTAATGTGATAATGAATAAATTTTAATATAATTCATGCTTCTTTTGCTGTAAATTTTGTTAACATTAATTCTTTTTATTTATTTTAATATTTTTAAAGAAAGTATTTTAAATATAACCATACTTAATTTTATGAAATTCTTTAATTTGGGGAAAAACAGTAGACAATAGACAATTATATTTCGAAGGAAAATTAATAATTTTAAACACAATTTCAATAAATATAATTAAGTATTTTTTTAGAACTTTTAATGGAATATTTTTAACCGTTTTTGAAATTGGACTAAAATATAAGTTTTAAAATGGTGAGAATGTATCTAAAATTTTAACAAAACTAAAAGAAAGTCATCGTATTTTACTCTTAAATTATTTTCCCTCTAAAAGGAAAATTTGTGGAGTTTCCAAAGTCCAACTGTATACAAGAAAATAGAGATTATCAATTTAAAAAGGCTCCAAAATCATCTCATTTGGAATATGAAAGGTTGAAAGTCATGGATTCAAAGCTTACAAATTGACATTCTTCAAATACGCTTAATTATATTTTAATTGTCATGATAAGGCTTTTTGTGAAGTACTCCTTGCTTAAAGTGTAACCCTTAATTTGGATGGGCATAAAAATAGAGAGGAGGAAAACAAGAGCAAAAGCTTCTAAAAATAGTAAAAATATAGGTTTTAAAATGAAAATTTCTCCCCATATTTTTCTCTCCTTCCCATTTTCTTCCCTATTTTGAAGTTCATAATTATTTTAGGCGGATCTACCATCGGCCTTAAATATCGAAGGGTATATCAAATTAGTAGGAATTTATTGTTTTTAATTAAAATAGAAATAGTTTCTCGTAAAATAAGCTTCTAACGAAGACTTGTACCAAACTGACGCATTCTAGATAAAGTAGCACAAAGAGAACACATAAAACATAACTCATACTCTGCATTTGTTTAAACAGGTCGATTTCAAAAGTTTGGATCATTTGAAGCTCATGCCATCGAATTTGTTGACACTGCTACGTTCATTGGAGGAACTGGAAGTGACTGGTTGTTATTCCTTAGAATCAGTGTTTGATGTGAAGGTCATGGATGACACAGAAATGCATGTAAAGGAAGAAAGTCAGCTGAAAAAGCTAACTCTATCGCGACTACCGAATCTGAAACATATATGGAATCGAAACCTTCCAAAAATACTCAGTTTCAAAAATTTGCAGATATTGACAATTGCAGGATGCCTGAACTTGAAACGTGTTTTCGGTAACATTATGCCAAGATCTGCAGCAACTTCAAGAGCTTTGCATACATTTTTGTGGCATTGAGGAAATTGTTGCAATTGAAGGAGGAGTAGAGGATCTTGAGTTTAATTTTCCAAAGTTGACTATCTTCAGGCTGGCTTGTTTGCGACAGTTGAAGAATTTTTATCCAAGAAGACATAATTTGGCATGTCCTTCATTGAAGACATTAAGTGTCTATGATTGTGAAAAATTGGAAATATTTGACTTTAGCCATTTGGATTCCCAGCATACATCAAGGCTGGATGAAATTGACGTGCCAATTCAACAAGCACTCTTTTCTTTTGAAAAGGTACATGCATGCCTTTTTTTTTCTATTTATTTTTTTCTTGGTTGATTCTTACAAACAAATTTTTGATCTAAATCAACGTAAATATAAATATCATCACTGTCACAAATTTATTAAATTATTTCATGATTTGAGAGTCAAATAAACTGTTATATTTGTTTTTATTTATTAGGTGTCACCAACTTTAAAAGATTTGGCATTAAATGAAAAAGATTCTATGAAGATACTGAATAGTCATGATGAGGTAAGTCTCTTTCATAGTGTTGAGGTGCTTCGTCTACAACGCTTTGAAGAAAGTCCAATAATGTGGCTAAATAGGTTCCTTGAAAAATTCCCTAATATTACAACACTAGAAGGGCGTTCTAGTACTTTCAAAGTACTTTTTCCTTCCAAGAAAATTGGTTATGGCAGTTTAAAAGTGTTGTGTCTTCATACGCTGGAGCAACTTGAGCAAATATGGAATGATGACGGCTCTCTTTCAGATGTCCTTGAGCAACTCTATGTGTGGGATTGTCCAAGTCTAACAAGCTTGGGACCACCTTCAATATCTTTCTTTCACAAGTTTAACAACAGCTTACACTGCTAAAAGTCTTGTGCACCTCGAAGGGTTATGCATAAGAAATTGTGGGATGATGGAGGAAGTTGTGATGATCGATGTAGCAACACCAGAAGAGATCACATTTGAAAGCTTAATACGTTTGGAAATGACTTCTTTATCCTCTCTCAAAAGCTTCTGCTCTGGCAAACTCACTTTTGTATTCCCATCATTTAGTTTATTTCAAGTGAGAGGATGCCCCAAAATGCAGAATTTCTCATCAGGAGTCATTATGGCCCAAAGGATACCAATAAGCAGAGACAATGAAACGATGCATTGGACAAAGGCCTTAATGCTACTATCAAGGAGCTGGTCACAGAATAGGTATGATAAACATAAATTATTGTTGTGTCCTATAATTTAAAGAATGTATAAAAATTTGGCTGACACTCTTTTTTAATATTCATGTTCATCAGGTTTATTTCTGTTCATATAGAGAAGCAATAAAACAAATACAGCACAACAATATTCTTTTACCTAGTTCTAACCAGAAAAAGATAATAAATATAAAAGTGGATTATGTAAGAGCATTTATGTAACGATAGATATTTCTGCTATTGAATTAAGTAGACGAGACATAGAAGGAGATGTAGTCTGCTTGGGATGAAATAGAGTGCTGCTTGTCTTTTTCTTTTTTTAGTGGCCACTTGGATTCTCATGTTAGATATTTTGATAGTGGTTAGTTTCTTTTGACAGAACCTGGGGTCAACGTAGCTTCAACAATGATAGCTGTTTTCTCTGAAATAACTATTTTTAATTTGAAGCTATAGAAATAAGGGTGAACTTGAAAAATCTTAAATTGATCAAAGTCGAATGATGGATTTGCCATATTTACTCATATAATTATTGTTATTTGCCATATCGAATGATGGACTTCAATTTTGTTAGTCACTTGTCCAGTTATAAAGTGAGTGAGTGAATTGATGTTACTATAATCTCTCTCTCGTCTGCAGGAAGGTTCAGATTCTGATGCCAGCGAACAGTCAAAGCGACACAGTACCTGCAACTTACGAAGATGATCCATTTTATTCTCCTAGTGTATTTGTGATTCATGTTTGAGATTTTCTTTCAATGAAAAAAGAAAAAGGGAAAAAAAATTGGTGGTCTATTTTAAATGACATCTTGCTCCTTGAACAATACTGGATTGATGAATATTTCAATTTATATTATGAAGAGTGAACCCTTGTATCAGGACATATGTTTAGTTTGAAGGCATGCATGCAGAACTGAGTTGATCATCTTCATTAATATTGGATCTGTTGCAATATATAGCTGTTCTATCCATCTAAACTGTGATTCACTTTAGGTCCATTTGCTACAAAATAGTAATAGAAAAAAGGAATGAGAATGCCGAAACTTGGAACACAACTCTGTTACGCAGGAGCACATTTTTCTTGTTTTGTTTTCTCTCTTTTTTCTGTGACTATATGATTGAGTTAAATTCGACTATTGTCGGTCTAATTGGGGTAGCTAACTCTGGTTGATTTTTGTTTTACATTTTAGTAAGTAAAATTGCAGAATCTGGATTTGGATGGTTGAGTATGAACAGATCATGAAAATTGGCCTATGGGAAGAAAGATAAAACATGTTGGTGGACAAAAATAAATATACCGATTGATTTTACTAATTATTACTTATAAACAACTCATTAACGTGTTTTTCGCCGCTAATCCCTCATAGCCTCATGTACTCTATATATATACATGGTAGAATCCAATCACCAACATTAATATCATTAATATTGAATATAAATTTTATATTAAGCTACGTTATGGACTGGTTCGTCAGTTTAACTATTTGCATAACTTACAAATAATATAACTTTTAGTAGATTGTATATCATATACCAAGAACCATATATATTTCATAATTTTATAAATAATATTATTTTGTTAAATAAAATATGTTTATTGGAACCGTCCTAGTTTGTACTGGCATTAATTATTAATTAATTATATAAAAGGCAAAAGAGAACAAAGCGGAAATTCCGAAATTGTTTGATGAGGAAGGGTCAACTGGCGAAGCCTTCCGTGATCCTTCTCAAAGCATTTCCCTTCGAATGTCCACACTTTCCACCACTATTTTACTAAATTATTCTTGGTTGTTATCTAAGACCTATCATTATCAAAATGAAAAAAAAAAAAAACTAAATTAGTACTCCCTCTATACTACAATATAGGATATTTTCTTGAAGTCTTACTTGGTCCTAAATATAGACATTGAATAAATTTTATATTTATTTTTTTTCAAGTATACCCTTATTTTATTTATTACTCTTTTTGAAAAAAAATCATGCATTAAAATTTTAATTACTATTATCAAGGCTCTTATTTAAAGTATTTAATGACGGTATAAATGAAAAAATATGGACATTTTTAGAAATTTATGGTTTCAACAAATATTATTCATCAATTATAAATTAATTAATTATAACTTTTATTGTGATCTAGAGGGAGTAACTAATTAAACTTCTCGCTGACCCCTGTGTGACCACCGTGGACTTCAAATTAAAATTTTCAAATAATTATATATATATTTTTATGACTCATTGTCCAAATCTATGTCTACAAAATAAATTTATATGTTTCAGAGATGTTTGACAAATATATTAAATTACGTGCTTTATTCTCTTGTGGCGTGGTATTTGAATTTTTAAATTTAATTGATTTTGTTAGTAATAGAATTTTTTTTTGTCAACCACAGTCTTCATGTCTGTTTGGGTAAGAAAGTTTTTCACATTTGTAAAGTACTTTTGAGAAATTTTAAAAGTAAAAATTGTTTGGTTCATAAAAAAGTTTTTAAAGTTCTTTTAAAAAGTTCATTGAAAAAGTCATTAAAAGTTAATTTCCCAAAGCTATTTTTACTTAAATTTACATTTTTAGGCATTAATGAAAAAGTGACTAATTATTATTTTACTATTATCCTTATAATTATTTGCCAAACGTTATATTTTTTATAGATTGTTAAGCTTGTAATTTTTCATAAACCACAAATTGCAGGGAGAGTGGGTAAATCATACAGGAAGCGATCATCATCATTAAATAAAAATTTCTTTTCTGGTTACTGTTCTATTTGTTGCCTTGTAGATCTTTACAAAAACAGAAAAAACTTTCCCATCCTTAATTTTTTTTTTAATAAGTTGACGTATCTGTTTAGAGATTTCTTTTCTTTTCTTGCAACTCTACTCTTTGTTATATTTCTTCTGTTTGTTGGTTTTCAAAAATCTTTTTGAAAAAAGCAGAAAATATTTCTCATTTCTCACTTCTCATCCTTCAAGTTTGTACTCAAGTTCTGGTACTGTCTCAGTTTGTAGTCCATCAAAATAGAGTTGAGAAGTTTCGTCTGTGATTCGGGTAAAGTCCTCCTCCTAATGGTTAGAACTTTTGGATTTGATAATTCATAACTTGTTTTGCTGTTTTTTTTCCCCTTGAATATGTTTTTTATTTTCTTTGTTGAATCTGAACAACATAAATTTACTTGTCAAGCAAGGGAAAGACAATTTCAACAAACACCTCTTGTTCACAGAAATTGGGGTAAGGTCCCTTTCAGTTCTGTATTTTCCTCACGTCCTCTCTTCCTTTTCCTTATTAAAGACAACCCTTTTCATCTATTATGTACATACATATATTGTCTTTTATTCAGACTCAAATCTTCAGCTGTTATACTTCATTCATCCTTCTCTCTCTCTCTCTCTCTCACAATAAAATCAAAAGCTATTTCTTCAAACTCAATTCACTATATATTCTTTGTCGTATGGTTGAAAAATGTAGGTTATTTGCCTCTGGGTTTAAAAAACCAACAAATATAACATCACTTTACTTGTTTCCACTTTCTTGTCTGCACTTTTTTTCTGTTTGTTTGGAGGGTGAGGCAGGCTGTTTGGCTTTTGATTTGGTTGAATCTGTCGTTTTTTATTCTTGAAGTTCTCTGCAGAAATATTGAAGAAGCCATCAACAAATCAATAACTTGCGTTCGCATTGGGCACCGAATGCCCATAAGGGTCAGTGGCAATACTGGCCTTCCATTTCAGTCCAAATTGATTCATGTTATTCATTTAAATTAATTTTTATATATTTTTAATACTATATTTATTAAAATAAAAAATATAAAAATTTTAATATTAAATCTGTACTATCTAAAGTATATTTAAAGGGTTAATGTATAAAATTTATAAATTTTTTAATATTAAATTAGATTATCTAAATTATATTTTGAGTTTAGAGTCTATCTAGAAAGTTAAATTGTAAAATTATAAATTTTTTTAATATTAAATTAGATCATCTAAATTATATTTTGAGTTTAGAGTCTATCTGGATAGTTAAATTGTAAAATTATAAAATTTTTTAATATTAAATTAAACTTTTAAATTATATCTGTACTTGCTAGATTGATATTAAACATATTTATTAAAATTTTAAAATTTTTTATATTTTTATATTAATACATATAATATTAAACATATTTAAAAATTAATTTAAATAAATCATAGAAGTTAATTTAAATTGAAATGGAAGGTCAAGATTGTCCCTTAGCTCTAATCGCGAAAGCAAATCGAACTTTCTCGCTGGATATCCACAACCAAGGTATGCGTCTTTGCCACTTTTGCATCAAAAATGGCTTCTTAGGGACCCTGTTTCTCCGTGTAACACGACTTGATATTTGTATTTGCATTATTGAACATCAAATCAGGAAATAAGAATGGAGATTATCAGTTTAATATTGCTGCAACAATAGCGGGGTATGCTGTGGGACCCATTGTCCGGCAAGTGAGATATTTGTATCCTACCAAGACAATTTCAAGGAGCTAAATGATTAAGTTCAGGAGCCGAGGATAGAAAAAGAGCGCGTTGAGGACAAACCGCTTTCCCCGCATTTTTGACTCGGGAGTATATATACATATATGTTCCCGCCCTTTTCCACCGATTCTTCCTTTCTCACCGAAAGGTTTTTTGTCTTATATGACTGGAGGGCTAGTTTGATCTACAATTAAATATATAAACATATAATTAATTTCACATAACTTTAAATATAAATTTATTTATTAATTTAAATCTCAAAATATTATAAATTTTTATTTTTAAATCCTTAATAAAACACAAATTTTACAATTTATTTATCATTTGAATATTAGGATGTTATAATTTGCCCTTAATTAGCTTAATTAATTTTAGGTTAAATTTTGAGATTTTACATGGGTGCAAGGGGTCTGCCCAATGGACAAGAGTTCTAGCCTAAGTACAAGAGTTCTAGCCTAAGTGCAAGAATTTTAGCTTGGTTGCAATACTTCTAGTTTAAAGTGTAAGGGTTCTGGATAGAGTGCAAGGGGTTTGGTTAGAGATGCAAGGGTTTTGGCTTAGGTGCAAGGGTTCTGGCTTGGGTGCAAGGGTTATGTCCTATGTTATAGCAAAATATTGATTTAGATATAATCAATAGTGGTTTAAATGTAAATCCAAGGCACTAATAAGGGTGTCTTCTTTGTGTGATTAATTTACATGTAATTCATTAGAGATTATATGTAAATTATTCCTTAATCATGTTCACGAGTTTCTTCCCCTATAGATTTACATATAAGCCGTAGCCTTTTTCATGTAATTCTGGGCATTTAGAGGGGCGTGCTTTCTGTATGTATAATTTATATGTAATTTGCTAGAGATTACATGTAGCAGATTACATGTAAATTATTCTTTAAATATGCCCGTGAATTTCCCCCACATTGATTTGCATGAAATCAATGGTGTTTTACATGTAAATCCAAGGCACTAATAATGATGTCCTCTCTATATGATATATTTACATGTAATTCGTTAGAGATTACATGTAAATTATTCCTTAGCATGCTCGCAATTTTTTTTCTTACATTAATTTACATGTAATTAATTATCATTTTCATGTAATTACATGGGCATTGGCAATAGGAGCTTTCTCTATATTTGATTTACATGTAATCAGTAAGATATTCACATAATTGTCACACTGACAGGTGAGAATTCAATAATTTTACATGAAAGACAATTGAATTTTCAATAAAAAACAAGTAAATATCTAGGAGGACTATGAACAACAAAAATATGAAAGAAATAACAATAATTCCATTAGTTTAAATTTGGCATTGTGTCAAGTATAAAACAAATGATAAACAAAGACCATAAGACACCCTAAATCAAAAAATATGTTATGGGAGTAAGAACAATATCATGCCTATCTTA